TAATTAACACTATTGAAGAGCAACAGAGAAAATCCCCATATCAAAATAAAAATTATATTATTGTTCATCTTTGAAATAAGATTAATAATATTCGAAAGTAATGACTAAGTCTTAATAATAGGTAAAATATGAGATTGATCATGTCACAACTGATTTTCTCAGGTCAATTATTTCAACGAATTATTTTTTGGATTTCTCATCGAAAAATATTCGATATATAATAATAATAATAATAAGTATTTATTTGAGTTATCATTTCTCGTTTCTTCGTAAATTAAAATTAAAATTTTCGTAAAACTTTATCTCTATTTATCATTGATCATATACAAACAAAATAAATTCATTATAAAATCGATTGATTCTAACATTGTTATTCTATATCAAGTAGAAATCTTGTCTATATCAATTCAATATAATGATATAACATTAAATAAAATAATAAAAATGAAAAAAAAATCTTCTATTATGTTGATAACAATATAATATTATTATTGATGATTTAAATTTCAATTGAAATAAATTTTGTCTTTATTAATTTCGTGTTCGTATAAAAGTTAATCAGACGATTCAAATATATAGAATTGAATAAATTTTTATTTATAATTTATCTTTTTCAATATAATTTTTATTAAAGTAAGTCTCAATAGAATAAATATATCGAAATATTTTTTAAAAAATCTTGATTATAGACATCGATTATCATATTTATTTACTTTTTTCTTTGCAAGAAAAAAAGCGAAAATAAACATAGGTGAAAGCAAAAAAAGTAATCGACTAGAGTTCATGAAGATTTTTTTTTTTTTTTTTTGAAAGAAAATAGATTGAATAGAATAAAAGCAATTTATATATTCTTATGATTTTTTTTTGTATAATAGACGATCGATTCAATAGTTTTCTCTTATTTCATTCTCGTTCTTTTCTTAATGCATTATATTTTTCTTTCTTTCATCTAGCATAATTTGCTGTTGATTTTATGCATGCGTACTCATACTATGTTACTAAGGAGTCGTCACCGTCGTCGTCGTCGTCTCACTTCAGTCACCTCGTATATATATAAAATATATATTATATGTGTGAGTAGAAAGTGATCGGATAAGTTTAAAAAAGAAGAGAACAAGTTGTACAAAACCAATGTATAATATAGATAAATTAGAAAGATTGCTTTTGTGTTCACCTTTTTGTGAATGTGTGAGTTATTTAATTAATATTGATGAAAATATAGAAAAGAAGATAATTAATAATAATTATTGTTTGTTAATAGGGTTTGATCGTTAACAAATATGAAGAAGAAATAAATAGCAGAAGTGTTTGTTTACGTCGATTTATTGTTATATTGTTTGTTGTTTTACTTCTTATTATCGTACATTCAAAACCAATTGATAAATAATTATTTATTTTATTTTATTTTATCTCAATATGATATTTACACTAAGTTTTTTTTTTTGGATTAATTTTAGTCAAATTAAATTTTTCTCTTTAATAAATTCGATTAACAAAAAAAAAAAAAACAATAATTTATTTCAATGAAATAGATTTATTATGATATTATTAACTATCAATAATAATTTAATTAAATATTCCATTGAAAAATATTTATTTTTATTCGAATAAAATCTTATTGATTTATTTATAAGTTAAACACAAAAAAAGCCAATTTTGATAGTTGATAATTGTATATGAAATTCGATTTTATTGTTCATTAAGATAATTAATCAAGAAATTTATTGAATCTTTTTTTCTTGATTATAAAAAAAAATATATTTAATAGAAATATAAATAGCAGAAAAATATTGATCCAACAGTTAACAGTTTACTGTGAAAATTTCAATTGGTAAATATAATCTTTTCATCAGTTGTCATTACTCCAGAGGTCGAAAATCATATATATTCGCTAACTTAACAGACTTCAATTAAAGTTTTCTTTTCTTTAGTTTTTGTTCAATTTTAATCTGAAAAAAATTCAAATAATCAACTTATATCTCTATGAAAAAAAAAAAACTAAATTGAAAATAAAAAATTCGATTCTTCTAAATTGCAGTGTGATATTTCCTCTTCAATTTGTAACTTTCTCAAGCTTTTTAGCATGTCAGACGATCGAGAAGTCTTTGTCGCAAGAATATTAAAAAACGAACAAAAGTCTACTTGGATAAAACCAGGAAACAGTTTATGACATTGAAAGTCAAGTTTTGTTTTGTTTGTTCCAATGTCATACAAGAATATTTATTTTGAAGATATGCGACATATGTCATACATAATTTAATCATTGAACTTCATAAATCACTCTTTGACTTAAGACGTTTTAGGAGAAAACACTCGTAAAACGGACATATTTACCGTGAAAGTAAATAATAATAGTATATTCTCGAGTTGGAAAGGTGTCTTATTCAATGATGTATCTAACTCGATAAATGATTATCTTATCAAATATTTAAATAACTGACAAGAAGAATCAATGATACTCAACATGTCATTTATTCATAGTAATATTTCTTATCTCTATTAAAAATAATTTATTTTTTTTTAATGATATTTTAATCAATATTGATTTATTTGTTTTATTAAATATTTCAACTAATCAAAAAAGAAAATGTTTCATATGTAGATAAATATCAATCAATGACAAATAATTTATGAAATATTTGTTTTAATGGAACAAATCCATTTAAGCATGATTAATTTCTATTTGAGAATGACATCATTCTATCAGAAAAGACTATTTACTAAAATAATTACTAACTATTTTTTGAAACATGATCAATAACGAATGTTAAAATGTTTCGAGTAAATTATTAAATCTATCTTTTTCTCTAAAAATAGAACAAACATAAGAAATATATCAACAATGATACATCACAGATCATAACAGACATTGTTAATATATATAATCACATATAGAATAGGCATAACGTATCATTGTAATATCCTAACTAAATAGTATCTTATTGTATCTATGAAAAATAAAGTAAAACAATGGTGAATAAATGTCTCTCAAAATCAACAAATAAAAACAATTTAAGTGACTGTAATAGAAAATATTTATCAGACTGTTAAATGTAGTTTATTTTGGAAAAAATAACTTCGATAAAATCAGTCTGTTAGAATTTCAAAAATTGTTTTCAATAAAAATTTGAAATTTTCTTCGACTAACCTTGAAAAGTGGAAGATGATCATCACCATCCAATTCGTCATCTATCAAAGTTCATTGTTGCGAAAATTTTTGCTCTTTTTTTGTTTCTTTCTATTCAACTATTGAAACTTATATCTAAAGACGAGAGTTAAATACTTCGACAGTATATTTTACTTATAATAAAATATTCTCTAATATATCTATAATAATTCGAGTCTTTTTTTTTACATGATACTTCGAATGACATAATAATTAGTTCAAGCCAATGAACAGAGTTCAAAATGACTGAAAAACTGATTAGATGTTTATTAAATAGTTTTATAGAGCGATCATATTTCACAGTTGTTAATAAAACGATATAGGACATACAAATAAATGATATATTTTCACATATACGAAAAAAAGGTATTTCTAAAAGGACCAACACAGGATAAGAGATTATTTAAAAAAAATATTCTCTAATTAGAAACATAAGAGAAAATAATTAATAGAAGAATTCTCGAATACCCAAATCACCAAAAAGAATTTTCTGACAAACTTCGGAAATTAGACTAAACTATAAAAAAAAAAGAAATTCTAAGATATAAAAAATTATTTTTGAGAAATTCTTGATTAATTCAAATATTCATTTGTTAGTTTTTCGAAACTAGTCGAATTTATAAATATAAATGATAAGTATTCTGAAAATATTGTTATTGCTTTGTGAACGAACTACGATATTTCTATATACTTGAAACTTTATTTATTCATATTGATGTTAAAGAATAATCTTAAATATTTCCTTTTAATCTCTGAAATATCATCCTATAAAATATTGTTGACATTGCTTTATTCTGAATTCTTAGATATATAAATTGCCTAGAAAATAAATGTTTATGTCTTATTAATGTTGGAAATTTCCTTTTACATCCATGTAACTATTGATGAAATTTAAACAGAATATGATTATAATTAATTTATCGAGAAATTTAATAATAGGTTTTTGTTTATATATTATCTTAAGTAAAGTTGACATGAAGATGAAAAATAAATATTGTTTCCATTTTCAAAATCTTTCATTAAGACACGTTTTTTCTAAATTCAAAGACATTTTGAAGGTGTAGAAAAGAAAATCTTCTATATTGTTTGGCACATTATATTTAAAATATTTTCTCATATTTTAATAATTATCAATTTTATTTAACTAATATTAATTATTAGATAATAAAATAGAAAAAAAAAACATAAGTTTCAAGTAAATTGAATTTCAGTAAAATCGTATTAATTATTAAAAATAAATGCGGTTGAAAAGAGAAAATATTTGCATGAAGAATGAATTTAGCAAAGAATCGTTTAGATAAGATTTAACATAGAAAATGTTTTTTTTTATCAAATGATGAAAATATGCAAAAAAAATAATTTGTCTTTATTAAATATCTTTCACAAAATAACATCGATTTTTTATCGAAGAAAAATGTGAAGAATGCATTTCAATTGTCTTTTCATTAGTTAAAAAAAAATCGTTTGGTTTGGTTTTTTTTTTAATAAATAAAACGTTGTTTTATCTCTGAGTGTTAATAAACGACTGATGATAATTAATGGTTATCTCTATGTAAATGAACGTTTTCTTTCAAGACTATATCGAAGATGAAGAACATGAATATGTTGACCGATAGAGAAGAAATATGTCTAGCTTTTTTTTTCTTTCAGTGGAAATAAGAATGCCTCTGAGATTATCAGTCAGCTGAATAGAAGAGACTAACAATAGAAAAAAAAAAAAAAGAAAACGAGAGAAAAGAAAGAGAGAGAAAAAACTAGTATTCATAGTTTATTGTTTGAGGTCATTCTCTATCTTTTTGTTTGATTTAAAATAAAAAAAAAAAAGTGTAAACTAATGGGTGGTACTATATCAGATATAGTTAAAGTTGTTGATGATGCTGTTAAACAAATAATATTACAAATTGATCCATCAATAATTAAATTTAAAAATACAACATTAACAATTCTTGATAATATTGAATCAAAATTTCAATCAAATAGTTCTCAAGCATTATCATCATTACGTCAAAATCTTCTTGTTTGGCTTTTTTTAGCATTAATTTTTTCAATACTTGTTTTAATATTAATACGTTATTTAATTGATATATTACATAAATTACAATTTGGTATATTAACACGTCAATATTCAATATTATTTGTATTAACAATAATTATTTTTTGGACTTTTTTATCATCTATATTTGGAGTTTTTATAAGTGAAGATATTAGTTGGTCAACATTAAAAATAATTATTTTTAGTTTATGTTGTTCATTAATAATATTATTAATATTAATATGGTTTAGATTTTTATTAATTTATCAAAAAAGAATAATAAGAAAACTAAATGTTTTTTTTTGTCAATGGAATTTATTAAAAGATAAAAATAATCGTTTAGAACAATCAACAATGACTTTACATATGTTATCTATTAAAAAAAAAACTCTTAATGATCATATTAATCAAATATAAATCAATTAATTTCTTTTTTTTTTTTCTTTCTTTCTTCATTTATATTTATATTCATTCATAATAAATTAACAAGTTTTTTTTTTTTTTCTCACGAAAATTTTCAATTTTCATTAGCAAATTTAGTACAATCAATATAGAAAAACTTCATTTGAGATAAAAACAAAATGCATTAAATATATTTCGATAATAAATGATCCTACTGAAAAACAATTAGACTTTTTATTCTTGTTTATTATATATTGAAATGTTTTTATCTGTTCATTGGGTTTTAATGAGTAAAGCAGTTCGATATGTTTAACCGTGTTTATTTGTTTGTTATCATCTTGTTTTAGGGCTCGTCGTTTTATGTCGTTTACAATTTTTTGCAGTGCCATTTTCTTGGTCGTGACTAGTTTCATCTTCCATCGATTCGATGGTCATATTTATTAGTTGTTCATAGAAAAATAATAGAGTCCTTCGACTAATCTAACAATACTGCTAAAGAGGAAATAAATATTAGTGATGTTAACTATAAGAATATATAATATAATCGATATTATTTTATTTAAAATATGTCTATTATTGTTATTCTATAAATTCTAATCGAATTGTCAGACATATTTGATGAACAAATACATGTAATCATGGTTATTTGTTTGTAAAATTAATGATCTACTTCTCAGTTAATATAGAGACAATCTCATCGAATTGACTAAATAGTAACAACAACATTGAATACTTATTTGATAGACTAATCATTAATCATTATATTCGGTTTTTCTGAATGAATTATTTATTGTTAACAATAATAAGTCTTATACTCAATTAAATATTAATTAGAAATTGATTTAATCATGAAATCATTTTGATTTGATTAATAGATGTACAAATTCGAAGTATTATTTGGATTATTTTTATTTTTCTAATTATAAAACAATATTCTTTTATTACGATTTTTAATTTTTCTAATATTTATTACCAAAAAATTATTTAATTATAAATAAATTCTTACGAGAAAAGATTTTCAAAAAACAAAAAAAAAATTCAAATGATGATAAATATCATTTGATTTAGCCATAGATAAATGATATTAGTGATTATTTGAAAATCTATAATCAATCGATATATATTAGCTCAAAAATCGACTTATTTTGAATTGTGTTAAATCTAATGGATAATTTGAATAAGACTAAAATCTGTAAGGAAGGATTTTCGTCTGAATACGTTTTATTTGAAAATAATTCAAATCACTATGAACATTTCTTGCTCAATATACTTTTGTTCATTATGTTGATTGATCACAATATAAAATAAATATCAGCTAGAAGATCAATTATAACAAGCTAGCCACTACTTTTGTTTTTTTTTACATATTGTCAATCTCGTCTGATAATATTGATTTATTTTCATATATATGCAACATCTTATATAGCTTTGTACTCTACAGGGTCTCATCTATGATATTGTCATAGGTCTAATTATGAGGCGAAAATTCGTCGAAGAGCTTTATCGAAACTAAAAGAATATTTTTAAGAAAAAAAAAATAGAAGGATGAAAGTATGTATTCTTTGTTGAATTAACTAGTTCGTTATTAAATAAAAAGAATATCCTCAATTAATAAGATTAATATTTTTTTGAGAAAAATGAATTATGAATAAGTTCTTAAAAAATATACCTATTCATTTACGGATATGTTCGAACATGATGCTTTATGAAAAAACTGAAATTAATTAGTCGCATAATTATACTAATACTTTTATATTAAGAAAAATAGTATTTAGAAGAAAATCTTATTGTTTGTCTTGTTTATACGTGAGAGAATTTTCTACAATTTGTTTGATTAATACCAGTTTGGGTATTTATATTAAAAATGTTTCATGTGAAATTGTTTTTTGTCAACATTGATTAATTCATATTGGTCATTGTTTATCATCACAAGTTTTATCTTGAATAAAAATCGTAACAGCTTATCCGAGTTAATCAGAAATAATTTTTATCAAATGAATTTAATTTAATTGAGGTTAATTTTCAATTAATTAAGAAAGTCAATAAAGAAGACAAAGTTCAATGAATTTGTTTGAAAATATTCTTATAAAAAAAAAAAAATGATCATTATCTTAATTAAAATAAGAAAGGTCATTTTTATTGAAAACGTTGAATAATGATGTTCACTTGTTTATTGTTTGAATATAATGAAGAATTAAAAATGATCTGATTGATTTTTTTTTTAAAAAGTTGCATTTAATAAATAAAAAATTGAAATTGAATATATAATGTCAAGTACGCAGAAAAAATGAATTTAAATAATAGAATCTAATTGTTTGTAACAGTATTTATAATGTAATATCGATAGTTTCTGGGTAATATTTATCACGTGTCAACTTTAATATAATTGGATAGAAGAAGAGAAACGCTTTTCGTACTCTAATCCTTTTTTTATTTATTTATCATAATCATTGTACGATGTGAAAGAAAAAGAAATAAATGCGGAAACTTCGGATTTAAATCCGAGAGTTATGTGTACTTCAAAAAGTGAATCATACGAATCAGTCATCCTAGAATATCTCAACATCAAAATTATACTGGGGAACCTACCATTTAAAATATTGATTTCTATTGCGCGTTGCCAAACCAATAGGACATGGGACCGAATACAGCTCAAGTTTGAACTCTTTTCCTTGATTTACCCTAACAAAGGCGTTTTTCCTATAACTTGATTTCCATTGGTCACTGCACAACCAATAGTATTTCGATGGAAGTGCAGTACACATTCGAGTTCTCCATCTCTGAAAACCTCGAAGTATCATCAATGTGATCAGAAGATAGAGCTCTGTTTATGAATCAATTAGATCGTGGACCAAAATATAACCTAGTTCTCTTTAAGTATCCTTGTGATAGATGAGTCAGACTTCTTGCTTCTTTCTGTTTTATATATCATTTTGTAGCTCTTGAAATTCTCTATCGAATGGTATATAATAGTTGGGGTTTTAATTGACTATGATAGGAAAAGTCTTTTACGAAAGTCACGATGGGTCCATTTTTCCACAGAAGGCTATAGGGAAAAATAGGTATTTTTTCAATAACTCAGGAATGGCTCGGCCGATTCTTCTCATCTACGAACTCGACCGAGATATTGTCAAGATTAAGCTGTGTAGAAAGTTTCATCGCAATCTGACTCTGCTGTCAAAAGTTATCATGTAAACAGCCAACCGGACGGACGAACGCACTGACTATACTATATAGTGTACTCACTTTTTGAGTACACAAAACTATGATTCGGTTCAAAACTAATATCAGATTCAGAATCAGCGTTAAAAACTGAGTCGATTTATGTATTTTGTGAATAATTATGAGCAAAAAATTTTTTTTTCGAAAAATCCCCGTACCCCCCCTCAGGGATGGTCTGGTCAAAAATCACAATTTTTTCGATAACTCAGCCATTTCTTGACGGATCCTTCTCATCTTCGAACTCGACCGAGATATTGTAAAGACTGAACTGTGTAGCAAATTTCATCGTGATCGGACTCTCCTTTCGAAAGTTATCGTGTTAACGGCCGGACGGACGGACGGCCGGACATACTGACCGATTCTAGTAGTGTACTCACTTTTTGAGTACACTAAAAAAGACAAAATACAATTGCAAAACAATTATTTTGTTATTCTATAAAATTTAATAAAGGTTTATGTTATAATCATTTGTAAATCTAATGTATGTATTTACGAAAATTTATTCTTTTCCAATGCTAAATCAATTATTTTTAAGTTTAAGAAAAACGGAGAAATGAAATTAAATGAAAACATTGTTTTTTTTGTATCATTGATAAATCTAGTCAAAACCATGAAAAAAAAAATTATTTTATTATTCATTCTAAACATTGAACAAGTTGCAGATGTAATAAAATTAAGTCAATCATATTATAAACTGAAAAGACACAGTTATAGTAGACGAAAATCAATCAATAAATATATTTTAACTCAATGATTAGTTATTCGAATGATTTCTAGATATTTATAAATTCATTTTAATCGTTGATATATTAATAGATATGTGTTAATCAGTAGAAGAGAATGCTAACCGATTTTATTAATAGACTAATTTAACAATAGATGAACATGGATTTCTATGGTAATCTCTATATCTCACTGTAATATTTATATAAAATTAGGTATTGGTTTCATTTTAGTCAGTATTGGTAAAGTGAAGTGTATTAAGGTCAATATTTATTTTTGTGTTTATTTTAACTATGAATATGCAATGGAAATGAACACTGTTTAGTAATAAACATGTGAATATAGTTTAGTTTTTGAAATGAATTTATCTTGTCTAAATTTAATTATTATTTGATTTGAACTCGAATATTTATTGAACAAGAATTAAATATATAATAAATAATATCGATATATGTTTTATAAAAAGAAAAAAAAATGCTTGTTCAAAATGATAATAGATTGATTTAAAGATATATGTTTATTACTATATTAAATTAACTAATAGAGTAATATTAGAATAGTAAAGTGAACTTAGTCCGAATTTTTACACTTAATGAACTTTTATTATTAATGCAGTTAATGCAGTCCTTGACGCATTTATTCTCTTTCTTCGTTAAGGTGATGCGAAATAGGTTGTTAAGGCTTTTTTTTTTTGCGACATTTTTTTCCTTTCTTTTTTTCTCTTCTTGCTGAAGCACGTTTCAAAACCGATAATAATGTATTGCAATGCTTTCAAGAACGAAAAGTCAAAAAATACTTGTTTAAGTGCAAGATTCAATATCCTAAATGGATCCGGATCATTTGTTTTGTGCAGCTAAATAGAATATATCATTTTCTTAGATAAAACCATTCAAAACAAAAACAAATATTAATGGCTTTATGTTTTTCAAAGTTGAAAATTGTTTAAAAGAAGATATGAACAATATTGTTTTACAAAACTAATTAAGTATATGACAATTTTATTCTTGATTGATAAAATAAAAATTTTTTTCGATAATAAATATTCGAAGATTCACACCAGATTTAACAATCGAATGAAATAATAATGTAATTTTATTTTAGATAAATTTAATAATGGATAAAGATATATTAGAACTTGATGATGATCAAAAAATAATCCGATATAGATTTATAAATGAAATTTCAAAAAAAAATGAAAATTTAGGTTATTATTTAAAAGAAATATTTCATATATGTACAAATCCAAATCGTGATATTCGTATTGAAATTTATAAAAAAGTTTTAAATGATTTAAAATTTGGTAGTATTGAAAGAGAAAAATTATTAGAATATTATGCTAAAATAATGGATTTAGAACGTCGTGTAAGAAAATTTGTTAATGCAAAAATTTATAATGAAAAAATTGAAAATCCAAATAGTACAGCAACAGCTGATCGTTTTGAATATGTTTTTTCTCGTATGAAAGATGAAAATGTACAAGAAGATAAAGTCAAAAAATTTTTTAATGAAAGTGCTTATGCTATATTTAGTTTAACAATGCATCCAACAAATCCAACATCAACTGATTATACAGTTAATGGTGGAATTCAATTTGATAAATATTTAGATAATAATTCAGATTATGAACAACATTTAAAATTACTTGAATATTTACCATTAACTGGACAAAAAAAAACAATTCAACAAGAAGTTGAAGAAACAATTGCTATTATTGATATTATTTATGAAACATCAATCAAAGTACGTTATGAATTAATTGAAGCATTAAAACAAATTCCATCTTATGAAAATCTTATTGATGTTAATAAACCTCTTATACAAGTATCTATATGGTCTGCAGGAGATGGAGATGGAAATGAAAATGCTGATGTTAATGTATTAAAACAAGCTGTTTTACAATTAAAACAACGTATTAAACAATTATATTTAAATGATATTAAAAAATTATCATCAGATAAAACAATAATTATTCAAGATAAATTAATTAATAATTCATATAAATCATCAAATGATTTAATTCACGATTTAGAATATATTCCTCATACACAAGATATTATTTATAAAATAAATACTTTTCGTTTTCATTATGCTCATATTGATATTCGTCATAATGCTTTTGATATAATGGAAACACTTGATCATTTAGTAAAAGTGAATGGTTTAATTGAAAATTTTTCGTCCTTATCATTATTAGATAAAAAAAAACTTATAACTGAATGGTTAAATAATGATAATATAATTGAAAAATTACTTATAACTGATGATGATATATTAAATAAAAGTAGTAAAACGGCTGCACGTATATTTGGTAGATTAAAATTAATTAAATATGATATTGATATATTTAATAAATTAATAATAGCTGAAACAAGTTCCATAGTTCATGTATTAGCTATATTTTTATTATTAAAAGCATCTGGAAATAGTGTAGCTGAAAAAGAAACAATTATTGATATTGTTACATTAAGTGAATCAGTTAAAGATTTAGAAGAATTACCTTATTTAATAACAGAATTAATTGATGATTCAATTTATCGAAAACATTTATTTTATCGTGAAAAATTAATTGTAATGATAGCTAAAAGTGATACTGTTAGACGTAATGGTCGTGGAGCTGAATCATCACAAGAACAAGCTTTAGGAAAAATTTATTCAATGCTTGAACAATTTAAATCAAAATATCCTGAATTAAAAAATTTAATCATTTGTGGTTTTAGTGGTGGTGGTGCTGCATTACAACGTGGTGGTGGACGTGTTACAGAAGTTGCTCATAATAATGGTCGAACAGCACGTTTTTATCATGCTAAAACTCTTGGTCCATCATTATTAACAATTCAAGGTCATCAAATGCAAATATTATTTTCTCCATCATCAATTGCTTTACATACATTACAATCATTAGTTGCACAAAATCTTCATGCACGTGCACAAACAGAATTAAAACCAAATGGTGAACATTATGTTTTACCACGTCGAGCACCAAAAGGTTATGATGAAAGAAAAAATATTGAAAAATTTCATAAAGCTTGTCAAATAATGCGTCAAGCTTATTTTAATTATATGGGAAATTTAGATGATTCTAATGATAAACATTCAGCAAATGAAAGTTTTAATAAATTATTTACAAATGCACCATGGATATCAGTTATTTTAGGAAATTTAAGTTCACGTCCATCAAAACGTGGTGGTCATGGAACAATTAATCAAAATATAACTGTTAGAAATTTAAGAGGTGAAAATCCGAAATTACTTGACAATCGTGCTATAACTGTTGAACGAGTATCTGCACATAGTGGAACACATTTTCTTAATTATTTAAGTGTATATGAAGGTTTAAAAAGTATTAATTATGATGAACTTCATGAAATGTATATTTGTAGTAAATCATGTCGAGATTTTATGCGTAATACAGCATTATCATTACATATGACTGATTTTGATATAGCATGGTTCACAATGATTGGTGAAACACATCCAGATAAAAATGAAATTATTTCATTAGCAAAAAAATTTAATCCAAATCGAAGTGAAAAAAATTCAAATAAAGAAACATTAGCATGGCTTGAATTATATGCATATGATGTTGCAAAATTAGTTTATAAATGTATTTTAAATAAAGATCCACCAGAGGATAATTTTGATTTACATTCACCATTAAGATCTGGTTTTTCAAATTTAGCACAACAATTAACAATAAGAGAAGAATCCAATGAATTTGGACGATATGCTCAATCTGATATGACTAATTTTATGAATAATAATTTAGATTTTCTTTTAGGTACACATGAATGTTTAACATTACAAGCATGTTATGCTGCTGCCGATGTTGTTAATGCACCAGAAGGTGGATTAAATATTGAACTTACAAGACAAAAACCCAATTGAAAACAAACATCATTTATTATACATATTTAAACATTATTATTTCTTTTTCTTAAATTCAATGCTCACTATTATGATCATTTGAAAAACATCTTCTTTTTCAGAAAAAAAATCTGTTTTTTATTTTAATATATTTTATCTATGTAAAGCCTTATTATAGATTATAGATTAAAATTTAATCTAGCGCATTAAAAAATTAAATTTGTTTTTCTTTTAGCCAATTATAGACTAGCAAATTACAGTTGATATCAAAATTGAACTCGTATTTACCCGTCATAATCAGCTTGGCCAATAGTCCATAAAATAATAAATAGTCATATTAGCTGTGGAGCTTTCTTCTACATCAACTATTTACACTGAAAAAAACTTATGTGATTTTTACATACTATTTCAATGTTAATACGAAGTAAAATCAGTTAAGAAAATTTCCTTGCATAACAAAGTTGAAGACTATAAACACAATTAATGAAATTATTATAAGCAAGAAAAAAGTCTCCACTATACGAAGATGAAACTAAAAAAAAAACGTCTTCGATCTCTGATCGGAATGATGCAGCTCAAACATGTTATACTTATGAGTCAGTGATACTTAATTCGACTGCTTTTTCTAATTTAGAAAGAATTGAAAACTATTAGTAATATTAGTTAGGATAGTCTCAAGATGTAAAGCACATATAAGAACAAAAAGAGAAAATAATGATTTAACAAAAGTTTTATTTTCTTTCGAAAGGCTTGAGACTACAATTTAAAAAGCAAATAGAGACACAGTAAAGCAAAACAAGATGTCGGCCAGTTGTACTAAATGATAGAATTCTAACCATTTATTTTCATTTTCCAGAAGCACCTAAGACCATCTATTGAAAGAATATGTTCGCGAAGAGTTCAATAGAACCACAGAAGTCAGACTAAAACGGCTTGCTTTCCATGTTGCAATTAAAACGCTAAAAATCCTAAAATAATGCATCATAACTAATGATGGTTTTCATTGAGAAATTTTTTGTGAGTTGACCATGACAAAAAATAAAAATAGTGACCTACCTACCAATATTTACATAAGGACAATAACAGCAGATAGGTATTTGGACAAAACAATAACAGGTTTCATAACTAATACATATGCAAATATCTTGACGAATATTTTGCTATGGTCAAGTGTTTCATATAAATATTTGTAAGATATGTATTTGTTAGACAATTAAATTTTCCTTTTGAACACCTTCGACTATAGACACATTCATCCTTTTTCTTTCTTTTTAGTGAAAAGAATAAAAAATTTTTATTCAATTGATCGTGTTTTACTTTTAACTTTATGAACAAGAATGTTCGATGATGCATTTCTACTTTTGTTTTCATATTCACCGTGATTTTTTTTTGTTCTTGCTTATGAAAAAAAAATTGGATTAAGAATGTTTTATTTATTTCATTGACATTCTACATATGAAGAAAGAAAAAACGAAGAATTTAAAATGATTGCTGTATTCGTCGTGTTATTTTTACAAATATTATTATGGGAAAAAAGCCTAACAGTTCGATTGGAATACAAATATTCTGTGGGACAACGTTTAACATATTTAGAACTTCAAATAATTGAACGTCATGATGTTGAAAAACGTCTTGATGAAACAATTGAATATATTGAAATGAATTATACAGAAGAAATTATTAAAATTGATTCTATTGACAATATTCAAAGAAAAATGAATTCTATTCGAATGTATCCATTTGATCGATATAAACATAAACAATTACTAGAAACAACTTATCGAATATTTGAAAATCAATCAATAAATCGTCCTGCTGAATTATCATCATTAAATGGACGGATTATAATACCACCACCAAATGAACCAAGTTTTCCTCAAGATGATATTAAAATAGGACATATTTGGACTATACCAATTATAAATTCATTAGGAGAAATTCATTATAAACTAATTGATATTGATGAATATGAAATAGCTCATATTGAATTTGAAGATGAACCTGTTATGTATTTTGATGCAAGTTTAACTGGAAAATGGACTTTTGATGTTCAAAGAGGTATTACATTGACACAAGAAACAGTTAGCTCTTCATCGATGTTAGCAGATCACAGAGTTACCAAAACAATAACAAAAAAACTTTTATCAACAAACTAAATTACGCTTTATTTTTCAGTTAAATATTCTAATATAGTTACTAAAATACTGTGTGGTTTTTTTAAACTAAACAAAAAAAAAACAATAATAAATTTAATCAAAAGAAATTTGGACAGCAACCAATTTCGAAAGGATTTTAAATTGTTGAAGATGTTCTTCTTTCTTCAGTTCTGGTCCTTCATCGATTAAAGTAATATGTTACATAGAAATCTATTTAGTAATCAGATGACTTGAATTCAATAGAGACTTTTACCTATACTAACTCATACTTCTTCATATTTATAAATATTAAACTAGCGAAAGTACCCGATGTTAGTCAAGATAGATTGATAGTATGTATCTCGCGAAAGAGAGAACAATATCGCTGTAATCCGTTTCTGGTTAATGATTTTTGATGTAATAAAGTTGCTTTTCGATGTTTTCCTCTTTTATGAGCTATTTTTATTCAAAGAAGACAGTTCAGTTAAACGCATTTTTTATTTTAAAGCTGTTTGATATACAATATTTCGAGTTTTACCATCAGGAGCAAAAACGTACAAATTCTTTCCAGTTCCTACTCTTGAACATGCTACGTATAATTGACCGTGGGAAAAGCAAGGAGTTCCTAGATTAATACCAGCAACTTTAAGCGATTGACCTTGAGCTTTATTGATAGACATTGCAAAAGCAAGACGCACTGGAAACTGAAGACTCTTGAACTCCAATGGCATATCATTAGGAACCATGGGAATTCGTGGCATAAATACATCTTCTCCTTTTGCACAGCCTGTCAAGATAGTTGCTTCAATCACATGGGGCATTAGGCTTTTCACACAAAGCCTTGTACCATTGCAGAGTCTTGGTGCATCCAAAATTCTTAGAAGCATTATCGGAGAGCCAACCTTGAGCACCAGACTGTGTGGTGGCATTCCAGGAGGTTCCAGCGAGTTGAGAAATTCGGTAGGATACTGTACTGCTTGGTCAATGTCCACAACTGTATCAATTGACTTGTATGATACGTCTACACCAGGTAACTGTTGTTGAATCTGCAAGTTAATAGCATTTACACTACCATTTTTCGGAGCAAGAATAGCACGTTCACAGAGCCATTTGTGATTATTAAAACAGCGTCGAATATCTGGAAATACACTGGTTTTCAGAGTTTCTATTGAGTCTACTATATTACAAAAATTATTTGGAATAGTGATAAGTCCAGTGGTCGGATCAGCAGCTATTTTTCCATCTCCAAGACTAAGTAGTTGTTGAGCAAATTGGCCAGCAGCTACATCACTCTGTAAATGAACTCGCATGTTGGTTTTGAGTTCCAGCTTATGAACATGTCTCCAGAGGTATGAAGCTTTCAAGCAGGCTTTGAGTTCATCAGCCATTGTTCCTTTCGGGATGACAGGCAATGTTTGACGAAAATCACCAGCTAGAAGCAAAACAGCTCCACCCACGAGTTTCCCATTGCCACGAAGATCTTGAAGTGTACGATCCAGAGCCTCTAATGCTTGTCTATGTGCCATCGTACATTCGTCCCATACAATAAGTTTACATTCTTGTACAACTTTGGCTTCTCCAGTACCTTTGCTAATATTACAAAGTGGAGCTTCACATTGTGTAAGGTTGAGAGGCAACTTTAATGTTGAATGAGCAATACGACCACCGTGAAGCAGTGTAGCAGCAATTCCTGAAGAAGCCACTGCAATTGCAATTTTAGACTCCTGTCGAATTTTAGCCAAGAGTAGATTAATGACAAATGTTTTTCCTGTTCCACCGGCTTTTCTATTGATCCGATCTAATATAGCATTATAAGCAGCCCTCTGATCTGGTAACAGTAATGGTTCATTTGCTGATATATACTTGTTCAAATCGTTCAAGTCGTAGCTCGTCTCTCTGAATATTTCTCTGGTCAATCGATCGCCAAGAGTTCTTTGAGGACTTGGAAGACCTAACTGTTTGAGATCTTTGCCATCCATTCCCAGAGCTTTATCTTCAAGAATAATCAATGTTTGATTGAACATATCAGGTATATAATTTAAAACTAATCCAGGATTCTTTCTGCGAGCTTGTATGAGGATGTCTTCGGTTAAACTTTCTTTGTAGGATCCCCATATTGTCCCGGATTGGATGGACCACATGCTAATAGTAAAATGACGAATAGATTTCTTAGTCGTGCGGGCGATTGAATAGTAGCTGCTTCGGCCATTGTAGCGTCCCATTGCGCATCATCCTCAAGTAAGCCCATTAGTTGACAGGCCTCACGAAAAGTCGCACATATCCTACCATTTACAGTTCTTAAAGCTTCGTATGAAGTTGGGCCTCTAATCGTATGAAGTAAAAGTCGCAAGAAGAAGCATTCAAAATTATTTGGATGTGCAGTATAGACGCGACCCAAAGCGTTTGTTGCTCTGATGTTGGGATAACCAGGTACAGTCGTTCCTTGAACACAACGTTTGAAAACTTTTTCTGATACATCCCAAGTATAATATTTTGGAACATCGCAATACAGCAGTGTTCTGGCAAATTTATCTTTCTGACATAGTAAGAAAAATGCGGTCAGCGTCGTCTTTAGCGGTTCATTAATTCTTTCATGTAAATTGTCTTCTGTGATGTAGACGCGTTGTCCATTTTCCAAGTGAACAGCCAGATGCACTACCGTCGGATGCCGTTCATGAATTGGAAAATCCAAGATTCGCCATACTGCTTCATTACTGCTGATGTATGGTCCTAACTGATATCGCTCAATTTCATCAATTGCTGTTCCATCTTTTCCAAAGCCAAACATCGCCTGATCACTACCCTTTTTAACGTATTTGCATATGTATTTGATCGACTTGACCGAATTACAATACTCAACATTAATATGAGCTCGAAAGATTCGAGAAAGTAATGGGCAATATGGCACAACCCATTTGTTATCGATTTCAATTTCTTGAATAGAGTTGCCAATTTTCACCTTGATTTTGGCTTTGAAACCACCATTCTCTGGACTTCGCCTCCTGTAGAGTGGATAACCATCTTCGCCCGTTTGTATATCATGTAGAAGTTGCCTGGGATACCTTTTGGTACATTTTCCATCTTTCATACACGAAGATCCAGGATTGATACTACCGCAAGGCCCATGAATCATGTTTTTTACGATAACCTCAAATAGACGGGGATCTTGTTGACGATCTGGTAGTTCTGCACTAATAACACTCTATTTCATCTGACTTAATTTTGTCTTTCAACCATATCAATATATGAGCATGAGGTAGTCCTCTCTTTTGCCATTCAATAGAATACATCCAACATCGTGTTGGTCCGAATACATGGCTTTTGGTAATAATATTCATTAATTTTATGAGTTTTTGCCTGAACACTCTTGCCAACAGATCATGACGGTCGGACGAATTTTGACCTTCCAACAGTTCTTCTTGAATTTGTTCCGATGTCGGATTGCAGGTGAATGTCACAAATAGATAAGGTCTTCCGTAGTTTCTCACGTATGTCATAGCATCTTGTGTATATTCATGCATGTGGCGTGGACTTCCAGTGAATATAGATGGTAGTATCACTAATTGACCGAGGTTATCGGCGTTACCATCATTAGCTATTGCATCTCTTAAGTGAATGTATTCGTCTACTCTACGTTTCTTTTGGTTAAGCCGTATAAACCATAGTCGCTCACTCTCAATCTTGGCGTACATATCAACGATAAACTGATGAAAAAGCTGACGACATCTTAAGATGTGATTTATAGCGCCAGTTCTCATCATTATTCTGTAAGCATAAAAGTCCATGGCTGAAACCTTTTTGCGATCGACGGGCATTCCTGTTGTCGGATCAGTCTGCATAATGAGAAAATGATACCCGTCTTCTCCCTCCCAAAAGATAAGCGGATATTACAAGGCGTCATATGACCTGTGCGTTTCTGCCACTCTCTGTAACTGATTGTTTTTCTTCTACAAAATGATGTCCCGCCTGGCAAATTCGTTCCCAACGATGACGACTGCTACTTCATTTGTTGAAGGTTCGTTGAAGCGTCTTGCATGCCCCCAAGCAGGCTTCTTGTCTGCTCTGATGACCACTCTGTATTCGTTAGAAAGCATCTTCTGAAGAGTAGACTTGAAAATATGGACATAGTTGTTATACTGATGAAGCATTCGCTGTAGATCCATAACAATATCTTGTCGTGTACCTAAAATATTATTACGACGTTGCCTTGTCTCTTGCTGTTAATTTCTCATGAAATAAATTTGAAGAAACTTAGGTTCTTCATTTGTTGACGGTAACAGTGATCCTATACGATGGTAAACTTGATCTTGGACTTTGAATGTGGGCATGAAACCTGGCTCACACACTTCGCTTGTGGCACCAAATGACGTCATTTGAAAGCATGAATTGTACTTTCGAATGTTCTCCAAGAAATGCTTTGATGTTGCAGTTGTTCCTGACATTAATGATTCCAATGGTTCAGGAGGTAGTCGAAGCGGTGGTAGTTTTACCTTACCATTGGAGCAACACATACCTGGTGCTTCTCCAGGCCACTTGAGTGCATCACAATATGAGCAAATCTCTGTCATTCGTCCAATATAAAGTTGAGGACGACTGTCATAACTTTTGGTTGGATCATATTGAAATGCTTCCCGCTCCATGAATGTCCAACGTGCTGCTCTTGAAGTGGAACGTCTTGTTCGATCTTCCTCACGTCGTGCTTGTCGTTGTTCCGCAGTCTCAGCAGCTCTGGAAGCCGCTTGTCTTGTGCATTGATCTCCAAGCCGAGTACTTGTTTGTTCTGGAGTCTCAGCAGCTCTGAAAGCCGCTTGTCTTGTACGTTTATCTCCAAGCCGAGTACTTGTTTGTTCTGGAGTCTCAGCAGCTCTGGAAGTCGCTTGTCTTCTGCGTTGATCTCCAAGCCGAGTACTTGTCTGTTCTGGAGTCTCAGCACCTCGGGAAGCTGCCATTCTTCTTGAAGCTGATGTGCTTCTTCCCAAAGAACTTCTTTTTTTTGTGGCATCTCGTAATATTACTGGAGTAAGTAGAAACGTTAGAAGATATTGTATGACACTGTAGTTTTTTTAATAAACAACAATGAAAAAAGACATCTATATATATCGAGAGAAAATACGAAAGTATTTCGATTGCGTTACCCCATGACATCATTTGAAAATTCGTATAACAGCATATTACACGTCAGAAGGAATATGATACGTCATAATAATGCACAACAAATACCAAAGAAACCAAATAATATTCAAGGCATGTACCATAACTGACCACGTAATCATGTAATCATATGGTATGTGTATATTCATATTACGTATTGAATCATCATTTGAGTCAGCAAAAATAATAACAAATACGTCATCATTTTGAGCAAGGAATACGATTCATATGTGTACATACATTTTTCAGTATGATACGATATGGAATCCACGTAAAAAATTTTCACAGAAAAATCAAATAATTTTTGATTAAATCGGTTAAAATCATGTTTTTTTTATCGATTTTCATCGATTTTTCATCAAATAGTCTAAAAAGCTGGATTTCCATCGATTATTTCACCTATTTTCGATTCTAATCGATTACAATTTGGCAACAAAACGATCATAATTGATTAGAAGTTGGTAAAAAACTCAATAAAATCGATGTTCTGTGACCACACACTAAGATAAAATGTGTCGCATGTGTCGCACTTTGCGACACAATGTACGACACATTAATGTGCGACACGAGGAGCTCGTTGCGACACATTTCTTCCAGCGGATGTACGACACATTCTTGTGCGACACATGCGACACATTTTTAACACGTGGTTCGAATCCATTTTTCGGCAGGAGGATTATTTTTTTTTTTGAAAATTCGAATAGTTACTATTTTTTCAGTTAATTTCAAACAGTAGCACCTATTCTTGGAGTTCGAGACGGTAGATCTTAAGATCTAGCTGCCTCGAGACCGTTTGATCTCGATGAGACTACTTCGAGGCAGTCCATTCTCGATCATCTAGCGACCTCTCGACATGTTCTTGAATAATAAATGGTCGAGAAATAATCTAGAAAAAAAAGACATACGAAAATGTATAAGTCAAGTACGTCCAATAGGCTCGGTTATATGCAGCTGCACTCGCGAAACAAATCGGTGAATGAACGATTGACATATAGGCTATGACACATCTATAATGCGACACATTTTTGTACGACACATATATACGACACATTTTATTTTAGTGTGCACTTTTAATCGATTATAACCGAAAATAGGTGAAACAGTCGATGGAAATTTAGCTTTTTAGATCATTTCATTAAAAAACAATGGAAAATCGATTAGAAGCGTATGATTTTAATTTGATTTTTTCCATATTTTTTTACATTGGAACCTTCAATTGTTACAGACTGGATCCATATTCCTTCAAGTTTTCCTGCCTTTTTATGTCCTGCCAATATTTATACATGCATGTATTCACATTGATAGTGATGGTCAAAACTCTCACAATTAAAACAAAGAAAGAAAAGATTTTTAAATTTCTGAAATATTGACAAAAATTGCAGTTCGAAGGAGAGTGCATATGTCCAGGGAGAGAAAGAACAAATGGAAGAAGGCAGAGAAGGGGAAGAGAAAACGAACCAACAGGTATTCTTCTTTACATGTATAAATAGAAGATATTCAGATAGTTCAGATAAATTAACATATATACAGGTATATAGATAGATGGAACGTGTAAATTGTAGTACATGTGCGCTCAGACGGCCTTCGGCCGCCTTCGCTAGCAATACTTTTGAATGTTCCGAAATTATGATATGAATATAGGTATATACATAGACGGAACGTGTAAATTGCAGCACATGTGCGCTCAGACGGCCTTCGGCCGCCTTCGCTATCAATTGCTTGAATATTTGGAAATGCTGCAATCCTATTGGTCAGTTATATAAGCAGCCTGTAGCAAGCGAACAATTGATTCTTTTCAGGGGTATCCCGACCGGGGGGGGGG